GAAATCAGTCCTAAACCGCCAGTCGGACATCCCCCAAGGTCTCTGTATTATGAGAGGGTGCAGGCCGGGCTGAGGGACACCTCCACCTGCGTGTCCCCCCCTCCCCCCCCCTGCACGAAGTTCATGCACCGGGCCTCTAGTATGTAAAATTAGCATAATACTACCTGCCCCTGTTCTATATTCCTCACAGGGTTATTGTCAGGATCAAATTCATCTATTCAGCTAGTATTTTGCACCTATTTTGTACCAACCAGGTGTTGTGGATACAGTAGTAAAACCAAATTCCTGCTCTGTGAAATATAATGAAAACAATACTTGTGAAATGTTTTGAAAATTGTGAAAGAATTTAGAAATTTAAGTTGTTATGCCATCCAGCATCCACAATCTTATAAATCAGGAAGCTAAGGTCCAGAAAGATTAACTGGTTAGTTAGGGACACAGGAAGAATTATCATTAGATTGTTCTTAGTCCAGTGTTCTTGTTTTCCCCCCATTCCCTATCAGATATATCACGATCTAGATTATTCATCTTCGTCTTCCCACCTTTCTTTCCTCTCTTTGCAGTGCTTTTCCTATTTTTGATTCCCCAATCCCTTTTCTTTAAACTTCATGTCATAATTTTTCCCCTTTCTGTATCAGTCTATGCTATCAAGGTAAATATTTGGGCGATTACAGGCTAAGAGCCAGATTTCTTCCATCCTAGATTGATCTGAATTTATCTTTCTGCTTTTTCATTGGCCTTAAGCTTTGGGCAAATTAATCAGCTTTTTATAAGCCGTGGTTTTGTCTTCTAAAAGACTGATAACTACCTTAGAGGCTATTTTCAGGCTAAAAATAATATGAAGTAAAGCTCCTAGCATACAGTAAGGCTCTGCAGTTGTTTGTTTGTGTCTTCTCTCTGAATGGTTTTATTTTTTATAATATATTTTTATTTACTTCAGAGAGGAAGGAAGAAGGAGAGAGAAACGATCAGTGATGAGTGAGAATCATTGATTAGCTGCCTCCTGCATGCCCCCTATTGGGAATTGAACCTGAAACACAGGCATGTGCCCTGATCAGGAATTGAACTGTGACCTCCTGGTTCATAGGTCATTGCTCAACCACTGAGCCACACCGGTTGGGCTGAATTACTTTATATTTGTCTATCATTTGTCCTTTCTTCTTTTCATCAGTTTTTTATTACTGCTAAAATGTTCATCTTAAAAGAAACTCTTGATTGTTTCCAATGTCAATATCAAGAAAATGGACTTTTTACAATCATTCCAATATTTCTTAATCTTGTTCTGTGCTTTCTGCTATGTACTGGGAAGCATATGACAAGAGCATAACTTATCACCCCTATCCTTCACGTAATAATCTTATATAGGGTTATTAACCAGGAGCTCATGAAGACTTGAAAATGTATGGAAAACTTTTTTTACCCTATTGAGTGCTTCCATAGATTTCATTTTTTAAAAAGGACTTATACTTAGAAAAAATTTAAAACTTAGTGTTTATATTTATTCATCACCTTGGAGAAACAATTACAGAATATCAGCATAAATTGAAATGCTAATTTTGAGACAACAGGAAGAAGAGGATATACTTAAAGTTTAAAGTCTTGATTGTGAGCTTTAGCTCTATTATTTATTAAGCTCTATAGCCTTGACTAGGCAAAACACATAAATTATTTGAATCTGATGATCACCCATAGTATTTATCAGGTTGTTAGGATT